TTGTTCCCTGTTATCATTGTTTACGTTTTCGTAGTGAATGTTTCAATTTCCACTGTCAAGAAGAAAAGTTCAGAGTTTCACCGAAAAAACATCTCCTAACTATCACATAAAATATTACGTTCAACGGAAGGTAGATCTCTGTAGGAAGAAGCTAATAGATAATAAATAGGTCACACAAATAGTAATCAGCCAGTCCCTAACAAAAAACTTGGACATTATGCATTGAAAATTCCACAGAATTTTTCTCTAAATTAAGAAAATAGTTTAGATTTGTTTTATAAACAAAGCTCTTAAAATAACAAACCTGTCAAAAATTCAGGAAACTGATAAAGCCTTTTAATTCTCTTTCCATAATTATTAATAAAGAGACTTTAAATGCTTGCGATTCTATCGTCAGACTGCAGGTACCCCCTTGGGCCAGAGGAGCGATAAAAGCAATCGATCATGGTTATTGACACTGAAACCTGGACAATTGGGCGCGATAGGAGCGACAGGTAAGATTGTCGGCAGCCATAAAAACCCACCGGCCGACCGCTGTGGAGACTCAGAACGATGAAGAACTGCGTAGCTAGCACCCTGCTGCTCCTGGTGGCGGTTTCGGCCACTCAAGCCGCTTCGGTGGCCACGCCCACCTGTGGAGGATCCACCTCCTCGAAGAACATTAACCTGGTGAACCCCACTAATCCCCCGCGGGAGTGCGAGTATCACATAAAGGCGTACAGCAAGTACGTTTGCCAGATACGCATTGACTGGGAAATGAACCTGGCCCAACCCACGCTGGAATCCAATGCAGCGGGTCTGACCTATGCCGAGTGCACCAAAGATTATTTCGTGGTTAATGGACTGAAACTGTGTGGCACGGAGGTCTGGCAGCACATCTATGTGCCCTTTAATGCCACCGATGGTGACTCTGTGGTGGATCTGCTCATTGGCTTGGCCGATCGCGCTGGAGCCACCGGACTGCCCGTGCCCTCCTGGGACATGACAGTGACCCAGCTAGAGTGCCCAGCGGGAGCCTCAGTTCGATCCCTGGATCTGGAGGAAGAGGAGGCCATCATCGAGGGCCGTTCCACCACCATAAAGGATGGCTACTATGTGGCCCCGCCCGGCTGCCTGCAGTACTTCCCCTCGTCCAAGGGCACTGTCAAGTCCTTCAACTACAACAACGGAAATGGAATCTACCCATCCCACATGAACTACGCCATCTGCTTCCGTCGCCAAACGGGAACCAAGCTTCTCACGTGAGTATCACCTGATTAATATTTTTAAAATTATTTCTTACAATTTAGTAAACAGCATTCGCGCCTACGACTTTAATGTTGGTGATGTGGTTTCCGCCTCTACCATGATGACCGATGAAAACTGCTATAGCAGCGATAGTACCAACGATCTGGATGCCGATTTCCTCATGGTGCCACAGGCGACCTTTGAAGACAGCCACAAGCACGCCACCTACTTCTGTGGCTCCATTAAAAAGGATGTGGTCATATCGAGTAAGTTTCATAGAGCTTTCGTGGGGGGCAAAGCTCACCTAACACCAGTGAACAAGTTTCTGATAACATAAAGCAAATAAGGTGAAAGAATATGAATTTAAATAGGTAGATTTATTATTCCCTTGCAAGAGTATTATAATTTGGTCATTAGTTTCTATCGCAGTAAAGGAGACGTTATCTAGCCACTTCCGTTTGTCCGTCTGTTTCAATACCGATCTGAAACCTATACAGTCGTCCTAAAATATGTGTGCGCAGATCAAGTTTGATAAGCGCCCCGATCAGAAGCTATATCCGATAGCTCTCATAGGAACGATCGATATAAATTGCAAAAATTAAAGATATTTTGCGCAGTGACAAATAATTTACATGAATATTTTCATCTTTTTTTAATGCATACCTGGATTAGAGTATATGTTCCTCACGCGCCTTTAACAAAAATTTCTGATATCAACAGTTGTGACGGAAAATGATATTACATTCGATAAAATAAATAAACTATATTAAATTTATGATTTCGGCCCGCAACAGTAAATATTTATTTACCTACTCGTAAATTTTCTGTTGTAGCGTGCCGAATACATAAATTTAATATAGTTTATTTATTTTATCGAATGTAATATCATTTTTCGTCACAATTGTTGATATCAGACATTTTTGTTAAAGGCGCGTTCGCCACTACTTTTTACCTCGTTAAGAGGTGTTTTTGTTTGATATCAGAAGTTTTTTTTTGCACAACAGTTTAATGAATATTAAACTTTTTAATAACAAGTTTTATCGCTTCAATTACCTATTTTAATAGCACAAGTTTGGAATCTCAACGGCTGTATAGTTTCAGATTCCAAGAGAAACCTGTCGTTTCTTATATTTCCCGCCGAACTAGGGGGTTTTTCCAAAGTGGTAGAACAAATGGATCAAATTTGCTATTTCGATTAGCTTCATGCAAGTAAAGGACCCTAAAACCATAACAAATTTTCCGTTTGAAAAAATCTAATAAGAATATTTTTCATCAAATTGGTTTTTTCTTGTTTATTCCAATAAGTATGAAATATTTCGTATACGGAACTGAAACGAGTTGCACTTTTTATCGCTTAATATCTTCCAAACGTTAATTTTTAGGGCAAAAAGTGTTATATATCAAAAGTTGAGGAATCTCAAGGGCTATATGATTTGAAATGAAAGTCGTTTTAAAAAATAACTTTTTGTCATAACTCGAAATCTATTATATTCAGACAACTTTATTATATGAAGGGTATTTAGCAAAATAAATTATCTTTTTAGAGATACATAGCACGTTTCTGTAGTTGTTTAAATCTGTCTTTTTTTTTTAATCAAGGCGCCATGTCTTCCTCTTCATGAACATGAGTCATAATTTTCCTGAGCTGGTAACACCAACATCTTCTTTCTCTTTGACCCCCATTCTGCATAGCAACAACCCCTCACCACTTTCTCCACAACTCCTTTCCCCTTAAGATGAGACAGCATTTTTTCGGTCTGGCAACGCTTGATTCTTTTAATTTCCCAGTGGCAACGCTTGATTCTATTAATTTCTGAGAAATTTTAAAAATTCGACTGCTTACGAAATTTCTCCAGCGCCACCTAGGTTTCACATTATGTGGCGTGTTAATAAAATCTCGTAAACAGCCGATGGGAATTAACGATAGGTGGCGTTTTTTTCCAGCTAAATAACGGGTATCTGATAGTCAAGGCCCTCTAACATTTTCTCTTTTTTTTAGTTTTTGCATAGAGTGAAAACATTACACAAACTGCTATTCAGAGCTAGTCACAAGAAATTACAATAATTATTCATACAGTAGTATTCCCAACTAAAATACTTTATAACTTAATTTAAACTATATTTGTTTAAGCGACATCCTTGCAAGCACTTACATGTTGAATAATTTTTAAGAACACAACTATATATCTACAAGTATATTATTTTACCACCTTTCCCTTATTTAGGCAACAATCCCGGTCCTTTGATGGTTCTCTTCAACAGCGACGACATCTACCGGCAGAATGAGGCTGGTTTTGCTTTCACCTACGTTGTGTCCTAAGCGGTTAAAACTTCTTCGATAATGTAAACTAAACAAATAGATGGAATTAAAAAGAGCTTAAAACGAAAGACTTGCACATGTTTGCTTAAGCATTAGCGGAGGGAATTCAAAGAGATCCGCCTGGGGAACTTATTTGGCACATACAATGATTTGGGACTTTGGGGCTTTCGATTTCTATTCCCGAAGCTTGCCGTATCAATTACAGATAATTGCGGACTTATCAGAACAGCCCTAGTGTCAACATTTGTCTGTGACAATTACCAGACAAGCGATATATTATCTCAAGAAGCCAGCGTATCTAGGTGTTCAAACAGCGTGTGAGACAATCTATCAAGTGGTTCCCATATTTATTAGATTCCAATCTCAAACTTTATATCTTAACGCCTGCAAGTTATATGCGGTGAAATAGACGCTGTTTAAAAACCAATCGTCATGTTAGAAAGGTTTTTAAAAAGCAGGATATATTTGACTTTAGTGAACTGCTAGGATTCCGTAAGCTTTTTAAAAGCTTGTTTTGGGAAATATTGGAGAAAGTACTTTTATCCTTTTCTAAGATTAGCAAAGACAGCACCCAAACGTTCTTTCTTTGTACAATTGTGCTTTTGAAAACCTATTTCCTCTTGGACTATCAACAAGTGTTTAAAGCAAGTTTACTCTAAAGCCGTTCCCCTTTTCAAAAATGTTGACTGCTGATAATTTGAGTTAAAATTAGAAATTGGCTGCTGTTATATTGATTAATAGCGACAAATAAACTCGGGTTTTATGAGCGGCGCCAACTCATAAGAATAATGGGCGGCAGAGTCCAATAAAGCCGCATTTAAATTCGGTTGATTTGGAGCAATTCTTCTTATCAGCCTCTTCAGAGACACACAACAAGTTGCGGGCAACAAAAGAGCCCGGTGCCCAATCTGCAGCCGTTCGTCGCAGCGGAAAGCTCTGCCAAAGCTCGGAAAAGTCTTGCACTATGGAAGGAATCATTTTTGTAAGAAATTAAAATTGTAATGATTAGATACAAATAAAAGTACTGCCAGATTAATCGTAAGTAAATAAACTTTTGACAGGATAAAGTAATAGTAAATAAACACATATCCCGTTCCTTAAATTAGAAGTCTCTTAAGTTAAATCAGCAAATAATTGTTGATCAATAACGACCACTATCTATTTTTGTTAAAAATGTCCTGTAAAATGTAATGTTTTCATGATCTTTGAAAATTGGTTAAAGAATCCGATTTTCCCTTTAGACAAGTGTGTTTAACTGCAAACTTCAGATAGTTATTGTTGTATGGCCTCTTTTTATACGCAATAGATAGAGCTTTTTGACCACAGTGCAGTGATAAGAGTCGAGCAGCAACTCGCAATGTTGCCGATGGGTCGCCCGCAGCAACATGTTGCCGCAGCAGCAGCCACGCCGGCTGCGAGCCGTGTGGCATGCGGATTTCAGTTGCCGTCCAACTGCCGCGTATTCGGAACGCTCCTCGCGCATCCGAGCCGGTTTCGAAACCATTTTCAAAGCCATTTTCGAACGGAGTGCGCGATTTGCTCATTAAGCCCAAATGGGTGTACAATAAAAGTTTAGCCCCTGCCATTGAAAAGTGTGTGCTCTACTTATTCCTTTATTATTTCCCCGAAGCCATTGTCATCGGTTGCCGCGAGGTGTGAGTGCCCGAGTGCGTCGCTTAAATGCCAATTTAAGTGGCAGGCGTTTAATCAAGTCAAGTCCCAGTCTCCGACGCCGCCGGTGTCACAAAAGCGAGTCGGAGTCCTTGGCATAGCCCGCTCCTCCTTTTCATTCCTAGGGATCCGCTCCCGCGCACATTCACAAAATTCCCAGTGAAAACATAGCCATAAATTAACAACTAATTCAATTAACTGCTGACAACGTCAACGAGCGCCGCCTGGCTGCAGCGGGATCCTGGCCTGGGAGAAAAGCCAGGAAAGTCGGGAGCCGAGCACTGCATCGCCGCAGGATATGCGGCGGGCTGCCTAGGAGGAATTCCTTGTGCCAGCCTCCTCCTCCACGGTAAGCCTACTCACAATGGAGAAATATTTCAAAACGCACACATGCCGCTGCTGGGGACCGGAAATTATGAGGCCTGTGTGTTCCGGCGTACACTTTCAAGGGACTATATCCCTTTGGATCTTCCCCCGTTTTTAATACAACTATATTGGACTGGCTATGCACATTTTCTTGGCTTTTGGGAATCCCTTCTACAGTTAAAGGGAATTTAAGACAATTAAATATTTATGCAAACCAGTTACAACTTATCGAGAATTGTGTCGAAACTTTTGCAGTGCACTTATCTCACATTGTAACGATTGAAATATTATTTTAAAGGGAATTTAATTTGGGTCCAACACCTGTATATTTAATTATGCTCAAAGATGATTTTATTTAAAAGGACTAAATAGTTGAGTTTTTTCTTAAATTCATTTGAAAACTTTTTGTAAACGTACCCCTTTTAAAGTTGTTGTGTAGTTTTTTGTTAGGGATAGAAATGTGAAAGTGAAAACCGGATTATGCGTTTCTGACTCTTTTGTATGAAGTCCTCAGAACTTGGCTCAAAGAATGAATGAAATGTTTAAGATATGCTCCCTATGCGTGGCCATTATGCAAATGCTTGATTGGGGAAAAACGCTCAAAGGATTTGGCTTGGGCCCTTCTGTTCAGCGTGTGAATTGACTTTTGTTTGGCTATCAAATCCGGGCACAGCTGCATAAATCAATGGAGCAGCATTTCTCTTCGTCCGTTTGAATTTTGATTTCCAGCTCCATGCTGACGCACGTTGTAAGGCCATAAATCTTGCGATCTGGCCGAAATGTCTTTAATTGTTGGGCGCACAGTCGGCAATCTGCAATCGCCAGTCTGCAAATCGACGATGATTTCACAGCACGACGCGACACTATCATTATTGTGCGATGATCATGATATATCTGCCGTCATTTGTCTCTGTAACAAGTTGAGCCTGGCGGCCAAAAGCAAACAATTTGCCACCGGCTGAATTCGCTATTTGCTGTTAGCCGTTTGCCATTAGGCGTTTACGTGGCGCCCGGATTGCAGCGTAGATGTCATAGATACTGTTCCAAGATACATAGACTACATATAGTATACACGATTCAACGGTGGCGTGGGTTTGCATTAGCTTTTACTTTAAACAATAAATTCTGGCGAAGCGCTATCTCTTAGCCGGGAAGATTGCAGGGAATATTTCGGACCAGAAAATGCATTTACAAAATAGATTATTCTTTCTACCGTTTTGCTCTTTTTAGTTTTTGTTCGTTGCTTTGTTTATGTCCACGTGAGCGAAATGCAGCGGCTAATGAGTAAATATTGTCAGAGATAATATACGAGTTTATAGTAGTCTGCTGCATTTGTGAGCTTCCAGTGAATGGATGACTCTCCAGAGAAATAAATCACTGCTCTTCAGCTAGTAATTCAGGAAGTATCTTTTTCTACTAGAGCAAATACTGAAATCGCTGGCACCAGAACCGAAAACAGATAAGGCAAAAGTAATGACTTCGAATGCCCCTTAAGTGTGTTATTTAAATACCATAAACAATTTATTTGTTGCTGCCGTTAGTTCAAGCAAACGAAAAAGGTGCAGGCAATTAAAAATCCATTAAACTGAGCAACAAAGCCAAATTGTATTAATCTAATGGCCAAATCTACAATTATTATTAAATTATCTTATTATGGTTACAGAATTTTGATCAGAAACGTTAGAAAGACATCATAAAAGAAAAAATAAATAAACAAAGTTGAACACTTTTCTAAATATAACTCGTGTTAATCCGCACAAGACATTAACATTCTTTTGCCCAATAAAAGCAGCCATTTAGACCAACTTATTTATTTAGCCATTAAAGAGCGTTTTTCAAATCATCACCACTTCGACCAAATAAGTAGGTATTACGCTGTTTTTTCCCAGTCAACGATTTTATTCCTGCTGTTTATTGAAAGCGATTTATGAATGATTTGTGTGATGTACACGTTCATGTAAACAACATCAAAATCAAATAATGTGTGCCGAAGCTCTCAGCTCCCTCAAATATTGGCCAATTCCGGTTCCCCTATTTGTTATCAATTTCCCATCAATTGTGGCTTTTTCCCATTGATTGATACATCCTATTTTGCCGGCTGCCAAATTAATTTGCTGTCCTAAAATTTCAACAGCATGGTTACACAACCGGCAGTCGGATGTGGATTTGGGCATCATCAGTGTTTATCATATTAAGAATTTTTCAAATTAATTGCAAATTTTAGATATTTCGGGTTCAGCGAGCACTGGAATCGCAATTTTCCACCACACGAGCTTTTGCCACCGCGAAAAAGGAAAAAAGAAGGCAGACAGGTCTTAACAATAACAAAAGGCTAGCGCTGATTGAACTGCTCAGTGCACAATTTCAATCAATTTTTCAATTAATTTTCATTACCCCGCGTGCGGCCAGATTCGAAGTGGGCACGATGATCAAACGATGATGAGATCGCACGGCCAACGTCATTGTTAAGGCCATTCTGTCCGCAGGCAAATGCAGGAAAATTAAAATAAATGGTTATGGGATCCATAAAGCATTACAATGCAGGAACATCGCGGCAACGTGACTCACGGCGCAAATGCCGGCCAAAACAAACAAACTACGCAGCTTATGCGACGACACTTGCCAACATACATACATGGCCCAGTGTGTGCGGGTTCAATTAACGTTGGCCAAAACAACTTGTTCTCGCTCCCAGGGAACCAGGGAGCCAGGGAACCAGGGAACCTGGAGCTGGAGTGGCCTTAAAAGGCAGCTGGGCCGGGATGCCCTGGCAAACGACGGCCCAACTGGCAGAAAAAGTTGTTAATTGGAATTTAACAATCTCTAAAAGCGTCTAATGGAAGAGATGCGTGCTCCGCGTCTTGGCCGACTGCCGAATCCGCCGACTGGGCCCACTGTGCGGCTACCAGTTTACCCACTCTGCGCTTTATCTGCCGGCAAATGTAGAAATTAAGTTTCGCCTGGCCAGATGGATCCCGGCCCATGGACTGTCAGTATCGTTTACGTGCCGCAGTCAGGCAAAAACAATCAACATCAACTTATTTGTCTGCTGGCTAAACATCTCAAAGCGGCCAGCAGTGGAGCAGCATCTGCTGATGCCACATAGCCAGATACCCAGATAGCCAGAGAGCCCGGCCTCGTTGTCATGACCATTCCTGGGTCCCCGTCTGCAGGAAGAATCGTGATTTCCCCCACACACTGCCGCAAAATAGGCATCTAAACTGGAGAGTTCACGTTCTTAATTAGTTATTTAGTATCAAATTCAGTGCTTTATTTACACATTTAACATTACAAATTGCTAACGGCCAGCATTTTATGTCGTGTTTATAATCAAAATCCCTCTAACGTAATTTTATTCTTAATTAAAGACTGATTTATTCAGTAATTAGCATTGCATATTGGGTGTTTTTATCTTTAAAACTGTATCCAAATTTTACCAGCATCTTAAAAAAATTCAACATTTAAACGTATGTTACTAAAAAAGGTACTACTCTTAAATAATCAAACTCTAAGAAATTATATCTTAACTTATAAAAATATAAGTCGACTTAAAAAGCATATAAACAAACCTGCAAATCGATCTTTTTTCATGAATCGACAATCACTTATTTATTTATTATTTTACAACGCAGTGATGTGGGCATTCCGATCTTATATATTCATGATCAGCATCATCAGCCTTGTCGATCTAGCCATCAGTCCGTTTGTCAGTCCGTCGGTCAATCCGTACATCCATCAGTCAGTTTCCACGCAATCTAGACTTTCAGTTCTAGAACTACCTGTCTGAACATTGGCCAAAAGTCTTCTTTATATTGCATTTAATATATAAATGTGTAAGTCAGATTGAAGGAAGGGGCAGATCGTACTATTACATCTAATGCGGTCATCGGAAAATAAATAGAAAAGAAATCAATTTAATGGTCATGTCATAATAATATGATTCACAAAATCAGAGACTATCTTCAGGTACGTTTATCCCCTGTCTGTCTAGATCATTAGTAATTTCCTCAGTGCACAGCGATAAGGCTCGGCTTGCATTCTTGCGCCGGCATTTAGTCGTGGGCCCCGTAACAAAGATCGTTAGCTGAAGGAATTATTGGAGCAGCTTTTCCAGCGGCTTTAGCCAGTCGCAGTTCGAGTGGGGAAAATAGTTTCGCTCTGCGGCCTCTGCCTCACTGGCTGGCTGCTGATGACAGGCCGTAGTTTTTGGCCCACCTGCTGGCATTTTGACTGCTTCCTGGGTTCCTCGGCTTCCCCAGCTCCTTCTGCCGGTGACAGTTCACGTCACCACAGAGCCACCAGCTGGCAGGAGCTTCTTTGTGCCGCTGTCGGCCCTAATGAAGCATCACACACATCCGCATACAGTCGCATCCACCAAGGTGGCTTACACGTGTGTCGCCCTGTCTTTGTTAAACAGCCAAGTCAAGGGGCATCGTGTGTTCAGCTTAATTTGCAGCACTGACATTAATCAATTGCAGCGTGGGCTTGGCTCGAGAACCCCGCAGATGGCCGTAAATTAGCAGCCACGAACGTGGCTAGGGACACCTGTTGGCGGCTTGCTGCCTGGTGGCCACTTCCGATTCGGCCCGCTTTTGAATATGATTTGCAGCATCGCGAGCGGCGAACATCGATATGCTCTTTAGATAACGCGGCGGGCTCCTCTGCCGGCTGCAGCCATAAATCAGGCGCAAATTGCCAAGCTCATGCTCAGGCCCTTGTCAGACACTTGTTGCCATTAACGGCCCAGACACTTCTGAGCCCACAGAATATATTGGTTAACGCGCCCGCTTTTGACACATCACATCACCAGCAAGTGCGCCGGAAGTCGCCTGTCAAATTGGCACTTGGCTTCTTGGCATCTTGGCCAAAAGTGTTGACAGCTGCAAATCAAATTGTCATTAAATTTTCACTTCGAATGGAAGCCTCTGGCCGACTCTGCCACAGGCCCCAGCCAAATAGCGTGGCATCGGTAATTTCAATTAA